ACTATGTTCTGCACACCTAGGGGCGCAAACCACCCCATGGCCTCTAGCAGAGTCTGAGTAGTCCCGCGGGGGCCACAGGCGAAGCCATAAAATTAAAGGAAGTAAATAGAACTTTCCGGGAGATGTTAGAGAGGATGAAGGGGGAACGTGTTCCGTTCTCTGATGTCACCTTCCGCTGTTCAGCATAAAGTGACCCGGCGCCATTGTTTTGTCTCCGCAGATCGATCGATTAGAAGGCGGCTCTCTGTCCCAGGCGTCCAGCATGGTGTCCTCGGGGGTAGACGGCATGCTGGCTCCGGACATGGTGGACGTAACCCCCGATCCTCAGCGCACCAAGGCCGCCATCCTGCACCTGCAACAGAAGATCCTCAAGCTCACCGAACAAATCAAGATCGAGCAAACCGCCAGAGACGACAACGTGGCCGAATACTTGAAACTGGCCAACAATGCCGACCGGCAGCAGGGCGCCCGCATCAAGCAGGTGAGACGCGCATGGCCTGCCCATGCACAGGGGGATATATTTATGTGTTCAGGTCATGCGTCAGTGAGACATCTCCGGGTATTGATCACCTATCACAGTGCTCCCAATGACCATGCTTCTCTCTCTCCAGAAGGACGGTGGCATCTTTGTTCTGGCATCATCCAGGGTCACCATCTTCCTGGGATGTGGATGCCAGTCATGTGTTCCTTATCAGGCAGAGCCATACCCCAGCTCATTGACATTGGCGCCATGCCCCTCCACTAGACTTGTGTTCAGGTGGTGGCAGCGAGAGAGCCCAGGTCTGTCCGGAGGGGATATTGATCCTTCACTTCCTGTTAGTAATCATATTGTAAGACAACGCTGTCAGCCTCCCCTCGGCCTCCTCAGGGCTGCCCGGAGGGGATATTGATCCTTCACTTCCTGTTAGTAATCCTATTGTAAGACAACGCAGTCAGCCTCCCCTTGGCCTCCTCAGGGCTGCCCGGAGGGGATATTGATCCTTCACTTCCTGTTAGTAATCATATTGTAAGACAACACGGTCAGCCTCCCCTTGGCCTCCTCAGGGCTGCCCGGAGGGGGTATTGATCCTTCACTTCCTGTTAGTAATCATATTGTAAGACAACGCAGTCAGCCTCTCCTCGGCCTCCTCAGGGCCGCTGTCAGACTAGGTTGGCTTGGACTACAAAGCAAATGTAAATACAAGGTATGTCCGTGATGTCTGTTGGGAACCATGGAGTCAGGAGCCATGTGACCAGAGGCCGCTGTGCCTTCTTCCCTCTGCCAGTCTTCCTGTACACATCTTCTCTTCTCATCTTCAGGTATTTGAAAAGAAGAACCAGAAGTCCTCGCAGTCCATCCTGCAGCTGCAGAAGAAGTTGGAGCATTACCACCGCAAGCTGCGCGAGGTGGAGCAGAACGGCATCGCTCGGCAGCCCAAGGACGTGCTGCGGGACATGCACCAGGGGCTGAAGGGCGTCGGCGCCAAAGTCACGGGCTTCAGCGAAGGGGTGGTGGACAGCGTGCGGGGGGGGCTGTCCACTTTCTCCCAAGCCACCCACTCGGCGGCCGGTGCCGTGGTGTCCAAGCCGCGGGAGATCGCCTCCCTGCTGCGCAATCGGTTCGGCAGCAGCGACAACATTCCATCCCTGGACGATCCGTCGGGTTTGTCTTCCACGCAAGGAGAGGACATGATGGGGAGGAGCCTGGCCACCTTGAACGCCTTCCAGGCCAGCCCCAAGTACGGCAGCGAGGAGGATTGCTCCAGCGCTACGTCCGGGTCGCTGGGCGGCAACAGTACCAGCGGGGGTCCGGGTGGAGGAGGGGGAGGCGGAGGAAGCTCCCGAACCAACACCTTGGACATGCACGGAGGGCTGATGGGCTTCGAGGTGGTGATGCAGGAGATCCAGGAAATGCGCGAGACTCAGAACCACCTGGAGGAGTCCCTGGAAGGACTAAGGACTCGGTATCAGAGCGAATACTCCTTCATTTTACAGTCCCTGCAGGAGGAGAGGTACAGGTGAGTCCTGGCCAAACATTCATTGTGGTGGGGGGGGGGAGGATCACCTTAAAGCTCAACTCCGGCCAAAGTGTGATTTATAATAGTGAAGGGTTAAAACATCTGTTAATTCCGCTCATGCCCCCCACTGAGGAGATTTGTTCTGACTTCCTGTTTAAACAGGAAGTGATTTTAAAATCTCTCCGGTGTGGGGACACAGGCTGCATCAAACCTATTAAGGTTTAGAACCTCTGTATTGTATTCCTGCCCCAGTGACACCATCTCCTGTCATTTCTTGCCTTGTCACAGGGACAGGAAGTCGGGAGAAAGCTCCCTGCAGAGGTCACAGTATTTCCAAAAAAAGATGGTTATGGCTGCTGGAGTTCAGCTTCACATTGTATGAGATTTCTCTGAGCTAGAAATAGATTTTCCATCATCACACTTTGTTCATTATAATTGTATATCTGGGGGCGGGGGCAGGGTCGGCGGGGGGTGTCCTCCAAATAACCTGCAGACAAGCCTTGTACCAAGTGTGTGGTCAACAGATGATGTGACCGCATGTCACTGACCCCTGTGTCCCTTAACTAGTAAGACCAGGTCTGTAATATGTGTGATCTCTAGCAGTTGTCACCTTTTTTCCAGTCTGCAGTCTCTGACCATCTCCTGTACCATGTCTGCAGTCTCTGACCATCTCCTATGCTATGTCTGCAGTCTCTGACCATCTCCTGTACCATGTCTGCAGTCTCTGACCATCTCCCGTACCATGTCTGCAGTCTCTGACCATCTCCTGTACCATGTCTGCTCTATGTCTTCAGTCTCTGTCCATCTCCTGTTCCATGTCTGCAGTCTCTGACCATCTCCTATGCTATGTCTGCAGTCTCTGAACATCTCCCTTACAATGTCTGCAGTCTCTGACCATCTCCTGTACCATGTCTGCAGTCTCAGACCATCTCCTATGCTATGTCTGCAGTCTCTGACCATCTCCTGTACCATGTCTGCAGTCTCTGACCATCTCCTATGCTATGTCTGCAGTCTCTGAACATCTCCTGTACCATGCCTGCAGTCTCTGACCTTCTCCTGTACCATGCCTGCAGTCTCTGACCTTCTCCTGTACCATGCCTGCAGTCTCTGACCTTCTCCTGTACCATGCCTGCAGTCTCTGACCATCTCCTGTACCATTCCTGCAGTCTCTGACCTTCTCCTGTACCATGTCTGCAGTCTGCCAGTCTTCTGTTGTATTCCATTTGTTGAATAGTTTGTGTGGCCCTTTTGTGCTGTCAGGGGCCACACTTTAGTCTCCATTATATATACTGAACTCGAGCAGTTCCTGGAGTGATGCATTGTGGGATATAAAGTGGACCTGATATGTAATTTGTCCTCATCATCTGATCACATTGTGAGTGAGTTGGTTCCTCTGTCATGCCGATAACTTCATTATAAGGCCCCGTTCACACTGAGCGATTTATCGCAGCGATATCGCTCTATGTCGCTTCTCCAATACATTTCAATGGAGCTGTTCACATCTCGTCGCTCAAAGTCGCGCAATTTTCATGTCGCTCAGTGTGAATGGGGCCTAAGGCGGGCGGGAGGATTAGAACTTCCTGTCCTTTTTTATTACCATCTATTGGCGAGATTTTCCCTCACTTCCTGTCCCGATGCCCTGACAGGAAATGAGGGAAAATCTGTGACGGTGACATCGGGGTTCTAGACTTGTCTCTCTGTCGCTGTAGTAGAATTCCCCTCACTTCCTGTTAGGGATGCACCGATACCGCTGCTTCTGCTGGCATGATAATGACGTACCGCCCGGCTTCCTGATTGCCCGGGAATGGGCATGGAGCCGGCTTCCCGGCCAATCAGGGAGGAGGGTCATTACCTGCCACCCGACTTCTTGATTGCCCGGGAAGCCGGCTTTATGTTGTTTTGCCAGCTTGATTGTGATTGGCCCTGTAACTGGCTTCCCAGCCTGTCAGCATGGAGTCGGCTTTCCGGCCAATCAGGAAGTCGGGAGGCGGGTCATTACCCGTCGCCCGGCTTCCTGATTGCCCGGGAAGCCGACTCCATGTTTCCCTGCGGCACTGACCGGAAGTTCCGGCATCTGGGAAGGTATTGGAGCTTTTGGGCGAGTACTCGGCCAAATATTTGATATCGGGACAGATACCATTACTAGTATGGGTGCATCCCTACTTCCTGTTTCATAAAACGTTGTCAGCAGGACAGGAAGTGAGAGGAAATCTCTCTAATGGAGCCCCTGATGGTAATAAGAATCTGACACTGGAACAGGAGTTGTGTTCTTTGCTCCCGCCCTCGATCACCTCGTCATTGGCTGCCGATCATTACGGCTGAAAGTCCGTTGTCCTCAGTCATGGGGTGAGATAAGCGGTTCAGCGATGCCGCCCCATGTGCGCATAGATCACCAGAGACGGTTGTAATAGGTTGACATAACCGACAGAGTTGCAGAGCCTCTAAAAATGCAAGTTCGGATTACAATCAATGATTGGTTACCTGATTCATAGACGGACGTTGTATCTGAACTTTGAGCGAGCGTGGAGCGTATCAGTGATGTCATTGGGATTAGGTGGACTTGACCTTTTTAACCTGCAGAAATGAATTCACAATTAAAGCTGCACTCCCGTCACATTCCCTCGACAGCAGAGCTTAGACTGGAGGACAGAGAAGCACATTCTGGAACCAATCAGTTAATGTGTTACGAGGAGTGTGCTGATAGGAGGGGAGAGCAGAGTGACCGCAATGAGCTCAGCAGTCTGCTGCTTCTCCTTTTTCACTGTCCAGTCACAGGCTGGGGGGGAGAGACCTTTCACTGTCCAGTCACGGGCTGGAGGGGAGGGACCTTTCACTGTCCAGTCACGGGCTGGAGGGGAGGGACCTTTCACGGTCCAGTCACAGGCTGGGAGGGAGGGACCTTTCACTGTCCAGTCACAGGCTGGGGGAGGGACCTTTCACTGTCCAGTCACGGGCTGGGGGAGGGACCTTTCACTGTCCAGTCACGGGCTGGAGGGTAGGGACCTTTCACTGTCCAGTCACAGGCTGGGGGGGAGGGACCTTTCACGGTCCAGTCACAGGCTGGGGGAGGGACCTTTCACTGTCCAGTCACTGGCTGGAGGGGAGGCGCCTTTCACTGTCCAGTCACGGGCTGGAGGGGAGGCACCTTTCACTGTCCAGTCACGGGCTGGAGGGGAGGGACCTTTCACGGTCCAGTCACAGGCTGGGGGGGAGGGACCTTTCACTGTCCAGTCACGGGTTGGAGGGGAGGGACCTTTCACTGTCCAGTCACGGGTTGGAGGGGAGGGACCTTTCACTGTCCAGTCACGGGTTGGAGGGGAGGGACCTTTCACTGTCCAGTCACGGGTTGGAGGGGAGGGACCTTTCACTGTCCAGTCACGGGTTGGAGGGGAGGGACCTTTCACTGTCCAGTCACGGGTTGGAGGGGAGGGACCTTTCACTGTCCAGTCACGGGTTGGAGGGGAGGGACCTTTCACTGTCCAGTCACGGGTTGGAGGGGAGGGACCTTTCACTGTCCAGTCACGGGTTGGAGGGGAGGGACCTTTCACTGTCCAGTCACGGGTTGGAGGGGAGGGACCTTTCACTGTCCAGTCACGGGTTGGAGGGGAGGGACCTTTCACTGTCCAGTCACGGGTTGGAGGGGAGGGACCTTTCACTGTCCAGTCACGGGTTGGAGGGGAGGGACCTTTCACTGTCCAGTCACGGGTTGGAGGGGAGGGACCTTTCACTGTCCAGTCACGGGTTGGAGGGGAGGGACCTTTCACTGTCCAGTCACGGGTTGGAGGGGAGGGACCTTTCACTGTCCAGTCACGGGTTGGAGGGGAGGGACCTTTCACTGTCCAGTCACGGGTTGGAGGGGAGGGACCTTTCACTGTCCAGTCACGGGTTGGAGGGGAGGGACCTTTCACTGTCCAGTCACGGGTTGGAGGGGAGGGACCTTTCACTGTCCAGTCACGGGTTGGAGGGGAGGGACCTTTCACTGTCCAGTCACGGGTTGGAGGGGAGGGACCTTTCACTGTCCAGTCACGGGTTGGAGGGGAGGGACCTTTCACTGTCCAGTCACGGGTTGGAGGGGAGGGACCTTTCACTGTCCAGTCACGGGTTGGAGGGGAGGGACCTTTCACTGTCCAGTCACGGGTTGGAGGGGAGGGACCTTTCACTGTCCAGTCACGGGTTGGAGGGGAGGGACCTTTCACTGTCCAGTCACGGGCTGGGGGGGAGGGACCAGACCTGTAAGAGTGACAGAGCTGTAGCAGAGAGAAGTCGGGTCAGGAGAGGCCTTTGCTGTGTAAATCTGAGTGGACAGAACCAGTCTATTGGCTGTCCGGCGGCTCCCAGATATGTATTTCATCCGCTTGCCTCCAGTCTGAGGACGGGATCTCCAACGGCTGGAAACCCACAAATACGATCTCATTTTCTTCTCTCGTTGGGACTATGAAATGTCCTTTATATCTGAGACACGTGCTGAAATGTTCCCGGGACACACCACTCCCAGCATGCCCCTGGGCGGTGTGACCCGTACATAGCGAGCTGAACACTCAGTGACATGATGGATTTACATCGGCTCGTTCACTGTGTTTGTCTGCATTACATAACCTCCATTCCACCCTCTGACTAATCCCGCGACTCATCACTCATCATCATTCATTGTTCCTGATATAAATAAACGCTGCCGGAGACTGAAGACGGGGCGCTGGGGATGGTCAGAGACTGCAGACGGGGCGCAGGAGATGGTCAGGGACTGCAGACAGGGCGCAGGAGATGGTCAGGTCAATTTCTTTTCTATTTTAAAAGGGAAATGTCAGGGGTCTGCCTGGACCCCTAATATTTCCCCGAAGCCCCCCAAAGAGTAAAAAATAATTTAAAAAAGGATTTTAACCACTTCCCGGCCGGCCAGGAGCTCTCTAGATCTGAGCGGGCGTCCTTAGACGTCCGCTCAGCCACGCCCCCTCGCGCGCACCGCTGGGCGCTCGCGAGCGGGAAATGGCCGTTATTTGAAAAGAGGCAGCGATGCCTGTTAACATACAAGCGATCCGGGGCCTATAGAGCCAGCGGATCGCTTGTATGAGGTCCCGTGAATTGCGCCCTCCCCGGCTCCCCCCCTCCCGCTGTCAAGCTGGTCCCGGGCTCTGCTGTGCCCAGTGCGAGCCCGGGACCAGCATATGGCCTCTGTCACAGGGGATCAGAGGGAGCTCGGTACACGAGCTCCCTCCGGTCCCCTCTCCGCTGTCAGAATGCGGAAGTGGTGTATATTACATCACTTCCGCATTCTTGTGTCACTCTCCAGCTTCAGATGCTGGAGAGAAGCTGATGAAGCAGATCTGTGCTTCATCAGCTTCTTCAGGGGGGTCCTAGGTGACATTAGGGGTCTTGGAGACCCCTGATGTCTCCATAAAGAGGACCTGTCACATATTTTGCTATCACATAAGGGGGTTTTCTAACCCCCCTATGTGATAGCAATAAAGTTTCCCCCCCAAAAATGTAAAGTTACAAATAAAAAAGAATTACATTTTTTTTTAAAGTCCCCCCCATACATACACGCATGCAAACAGGCGTCGGGTGCGCATACGTGTGAAAACGACGATTTCGCCCATTACGCCGCACATGTTACATATCGCCGCGAACGTCGGAGTGAGAGCAATAATTGTAGGGCTATCAATCACTGATAACACTAAACTGATGAGCGGTAAAAGCTTTTAAAGCGTCACCTATGGTCAATTTTGGGCATGGTAATTTTTTGCGATTTCGCGGGTGCGCGCAATTTTAAAGCATGACATGTTTGGTGTCTATTTACCCGACGTGACCCGATCTTTTATATTTTACCAAAAATATGGGTAATAAATGTGTGTGGTTACTGGGGGTGTGGCCACTGAGGGGTGTGGTCACTGAGGGGCGCTGTAAAGCTTTCTCACACAGGGCGCCTAAAGGCCGAAGGCCGGCCCTGGATGGAGGAATCTGTTGTGTTGTCTTTGTTCGGGCCGCAGGTTGAATGAAGAAAATATAACGCTGTATGTCACACTTTAGTCGCCTCTTCTATGTTCCGCTCATCTTTCCCCATATCAGAGGTCTTCAATACCCTTCTCTGCCCTCCCCAGTCCATCATCCCGAATGATCACAACAAAGGCACGTGTCTGTGCTGGGAGTTCTGGCTTGGACTCGGACTTCGGTCACATGACATATGTGACTTTTTCTGGACGGGAGCAGCTGACATCCCCGGGGATCAGGACCAGTCTCCATATGTCTGCTCATCCAGCGGTACCTGAGCGCCCCCTGCTGGTCACACAACATGACCTCATTACGATGGACACTAGATGATACCTGGTGCCTCGCTTCTAATGATATAAATGTCTAAATATAACAAAATGTATCCAATGATAAATCTAAATGTGTCTGCAGAAGAAACAAATGTATCCTATCACATGAGTGTAAGTGCTGCCAAGTAACGTGTTTCCCCGAAAATAAGACACTGTCTTACATTTTTTTTGGCTCAAAAAAACACACTAGGTCTTATTTTTTATTTTTTTAATGTACAGCAATCCACACTTATGTACAAAAATATGGTGATCAGAGCAATCAGTGGTGCCGTACCTTTCCAAGAGGAATTTGCTAACCAATCGCTGGCCAGAATGAGCGAAGCGCGCTTTCACTATGGATTCCTCACAGGCAGAGTGCATTTTGTATGACTCCGCCTGTGACAGGAGCCGGCGCTATAGAGGAGGCATCGGCTTATGCGGCTCTGCTCCCTCCGCTGCCGCCTCGCTTCCTCTAGCACCGGCTTCGTTGGCACCGCTGATTCTCTCTTACCTCTCCCGCGGCTCTTTTCCTCTAGCACCGGCTTCGTTGGCACCGCTGATTCTCTCTTCCCTCTCCCGCGGCTCTTCAAGTTCCCCCTTATGCCACCACCAGCCCTGGGAATGGTCACAGCGAGGCCTTATTTTCGGGGTAGGTCTTATATTTTAGCAATTCCCAAAAATAGTACTAGGTCTTATTTTCGGGGAAACAGGGTAACACCGAGTGACCAACCTGTAAAGACACAATGTTCAGTGTTCACAAATGATGGATCCGCTCCGAATTGTGAATCATATTGTCCATGAATATAATTACTAACGTTTAACAACGCCAACAGTTTATAATCCTCCTCAGTGTGTGCACACTCCAAGTGCCGGTATTCTCCCTCCTCGGTGTGTGCACACTCCAAGTGCCGGTATTCTCCCTCCTCGGTGTGTGCACACTCCAAGTGCCGGTATTCTCCCTCCTCGGTGTGTGCACACTCCAAGTGCCGGTATTCTCCCTTGTGCCGTGCGTTGTGTGCACACTCCAAGTGCCGGTATTCTCCCTCCTCGGTGTGTGCACACTCCAAGTGCCGGTATTCTCCCTCCTCGGTGTGTGCACACTCCAAGTGCCGGTATTCTCCCTCCTCGGTGTGTGCACACTCCAAGTGCCGGTATTCTCCCTCCTCGGTGTGTGCACACTCCAAGTGCCGGTATTCTCCCTCCTCGGTGTGTGCACACTCCAAGTGCCGGCATTCTCCCTCCTCGGTGTGTGCACACTCCAAGTGCCGGTATTCTCCCTCCTCGGTGTGTGCACACTCCAAGTGCCGGTATTCTCCCTCCTCAGTGTGTGCACACTCCAAGTGCCGGTATGCTCCCTTGTGCCGTGCGTCGCCCCAGTAGAATGCATCTCAGTGATGGATAAAACATACGACTTGCTCGGCTACATCCCGGCTGGTTGTGTATCGGTTGCAGATACTCCGTGCCGTGTCGGGGACTCCGGTGTCTATAGAGGTGACCCCAGGGAGATGTCGGGGTTTCCCGGGGGAGGGGGATCACCTCTGTATTATGGGGAGATTTCGGGGTTTCCCGGGGGAGGGGGATCACCTCAGTATTATAGGGAGATGTCGGGGTTTCCCGGGGGAGGGGATCACCTCTGTATTATGGGGAGATTTCGGGATTTCCCGGGGGAGGGGGATCACCTCAGTATTATAGGGAGATGTCGGGGTTTCCCGGGGGAGGGGATCACCTGAGTATTGTGGGGAGTGTTGCAGTTTTTTCTGACTCCATTTTAAAAAAAGAATCCCGCCGCTAACATGGCTGCGCTCTCTTCCTCGTCAGATGTGAACGGTTGGAGGAGCAGCTAAACGACCTCACGGAGCTCCACCAGAACGAGATCCTCAACTTGAAGCAAGAGCTGGCCAGCATGGAGGAGAAGATCGCCTACCAGTCGTACGAGCGGGCGCGGGACATCCAGGTAACTCGGTCAATGAAGACATAACCAGACCGTCATCAAAGCTCAAAGACGCAAATGTAGCTCTCTATACATGAATACCTCATATAGGGCTCATGCACATGGGCATAGTTCTCTGTATACATGAATACCTCATATAGGGCTCATGCACATGGTCATAGTTCTCTGTATACATGAATACATCACATGGGGCTCATGCACATGGGCATAGTTCTCTGTATACATCAATACATCACATGGGGCTCATGCACATGGGCATAGTTCTCTGTATACATGAATACCTCATATAGGGCTCATGCACATGGTCATAGTTCTCTGTATACATGAATACATCACATGGGGCTCATGCACATGGGCATAGTTCTCTGTATACATCAATACATCACATGGGGCTCATGCACATGGGCATAGTTCTCTGTATACATCATATAGGGCTCATGCACATGGAGTCGCAGCTCTGCACAGTCACACGTACATGCAAGTAGGGATGCACCGATAGCGGTTTTTCGGTATTGAGTATGAGTACCGACCTTTTATCTTTCGGTATTTGCCAGGTACTGATACCGGTACTTCTGCTAGCATGGATCCAGCTTCCCAATGAATCAGGAAGCCGGGCGGCGTGTCATTACCGGCCATCCAGCTTCTTGATTGCCTGGGAAGCCAACTCCATGCTGTTTGACTGTCTCTATGCTGATTGGCCAGGAAGCCGGCTGCCCAGCCATTCAGCATCGAGCCGGCTGTTATGCTGGAAGAAAAGAGCATTTATTGCTCAAAACTCCTCATGTCTGTCTGATAGTATTATAAAAAATCACCTTCTGTGTCTTACAAATCCTGTGTGTCCACCTTTTCTTTGCTATCCCACATCTATATCCTAAACCACCAGGAATGTAGCATGTGGCCGGCTCGATGCTGATTGGCTGGGAAGCCTGCTTCCTGGCCAATTAGGAAGCTGGGCAGGGAGTCATTACCCGCTGCCTGTCTTCCTGGTTGGCCGTGTTAGCCGGCGCTATGTTACCTTGTAGCACTGTCAGTCAAAGAAAATCTCCCTCTGACCAGAAGTTCCGGTATAGGGGGTAAGTATCGGGGCATTTGGGCAAGTACAAGTACTCGGTACCGATACTAGTATCCGTATCGGTGCATCCCTACCTGTAAGTGTCGCTGCCACTTGTAATCACGAAAGCCGGCAGAGGAATTCTTCCATTACTTGATTCCTCTGCGGCGCTGACTGATGACATCATCCAATCCCGAGCAAGGCGGAGGACTTCCTCTGCAGGTTTGCTCCTTTACAGGTGGCAAGAGAGCAGAGTGACTGGGAGATGAGCTCATCAGTCTTCTGCTTCTCCTTTCACTGTCTAGTCACAGGCTGGGGGTGGGACAAGTGTTCCGGAACTGCAGCAGAGAAAACAATTGGGTCCTTTGGGGGAGAGAAAACGTCTCTACTAGCTTTGTAAATGGAGTACAGAGTTCAATACGAGTTAAAATACTTAATGAAATCTCTCCCACCTTCCCACATGGGGGGATCAGTATTCTGAGCCAATCAGACTGTACTGCATTGCAGAGTGCGGTCACCTGACATGTTTTAGGCCCTTGCTTTGGAAGAGGAGATGTCTTGGCGGCTTATAGGAGCTGGAGAGGACCTTCCAGTGTAGTGATCCTCAGTCACTCATAGACTGGAGATCCTCTGCAGGGAGGGGTGCTCACTGAAAATACACACGCATGTGCAGTATATGTATACATACATATGATCCATCATGCTTCAGTATCTCACAACTGTGATCAATATGCAAAGTTTGAGGCCCATCTCATCCTGACGCCCCCACATTTCCCTCACTGATGGCTCCTCTCGTAGGGAGAAGGTCCATTTTTATCTTGTGCGTCTTGTTCACGCGGAGCTTCCAATAGATGACCCATTTTTTTTCCCCCATCTCTCCTGCAGGAGGCGCTAGAGGCGTGCCAGACGCGGATTTTGAAGATGGAGCTCCAACAGCAGCAGCAGCAAGTTGTCCAGCTGGAGGGTCTAGAGAACGCCACGGCCAGGAACCTCCTCGGCAAACTCATCAACATCCTGCTGGCCCTCATGGCCGTGGTCCTAGTCTTCGTCTCCACCGTGGCCAACTGCGTCGTCCCGCTACTGAAGACCCGCGGCCGGACGTTAGGGACGGTCCTCCTGGTCCTGGTGGCCGCGCTGCTTTACAAACACTCCGATTTCTTCTCCGAATACCTGGAACGACTACTGTCCCCCCCGAGATAACCGGGCTCCCCCACCCCGAAAAGCGAACTGTGAAAAAGAGATGGTACAGTCCTCTTGTCTAGAGAAACTGGAAGAGCCCATCTGCCTGGCGGCGGGGGGGGAGGCGGTGATGCCGCTTTTTCATATCCGCGGAAAGAGTTTTTTTTTTTTATCTCGGAGGCCATTTTCAGGAGCTGGGTAACTTTGCTAATTTACACTGCCCCGCCTTCCTCACGCCTTACAACCCAAGAGGGCCGCGATGGGCGCTTTCAACACCCCACCACGATATACAAGTCGGCTTCCCTCTGGGGATGGAAGGTTACCGGGGTCCGCACAGGGGGGTTGCGAGAGTGTACTGTTTACATAGTATGAAAGAAGTTTTGGACTTTTTCCACGTGTTTTTATTTGAGGGCGCTTTGTGCCCGCCGACTGAAGGAGAACTACTGCGTATTCTGTTTTTTTTTTTTTTTTATTTTCTCCCCCTCTCCCGTTTACTTGGAATCTCCCATTTCTCTGCCCACTCCCCTGGCGCCAAACCCACAACCCCCCCCACACCCCCTGCACTTCAGTACTGTGCCTTCAGGGTCTGCGACAAAGGGGCAAATCTGACTTCAGCAAGGAGCGCTGGAAGTCCCCTGGAGCTCGGACAGCTTGCGTTGCGGAAATTAGGCACGGCGACCTGCTTTCCGCCGCGTCCGCCTGACCTGGAAAACCATCGACTCTACCAAGTGCCTTACTGCTTCTGTATCACAGGGGAGTGAAGGAGGGGGGGAGCGGGCATTTCTGCACCTTGAAGATGCTCAGAGGTCAACGGGTGGTGCCGAGGATCAAGGGGGATCCAAACTGCCTTTTACACTGAAACTCTGGACTTTTTCTTCCTCCTCTTAACCGTTTCCCTGCTGGAGCTGAGCCGTGGCCCCTCCCCCACCCCCCCTACTCAGCCAGCGCTTACGGTACCTCTGGCTGCTGCACATTCCCATTGGCGGCGGACGATCTGCCGCTACCACTCCATGGAGGAGGGGAAGGGGGCAACCGTGATACTGTCTTGAATTCAGATTGACCCCTTTTGCTGCTCAGGATGCCCACCAGTTTAACATATAGCATCTGCCCCTCCCCCCTCCGTATAAACTGAGAGCAGTATTTCTGGTTTATGTTGTGTTTTTATTGAACTTTTTTTTAATTTTATTTTTGAAGTAGCATTGTAGCCGTCATTTGCCGGAGGGGTCATGCAGCTCCTCTGGCAGAGAGCGGCTCGCGTACAACTGGCCGCACTTTTTTGGAAGAGATGCTCGTGCTGCTGAGAGCCACCCGGGGGGTGGTGGGAGACATGGGTGACTTTTCGGAAGCAGTACTCATTTGGTACCGTTCTCTTTGCTGTAAGTGTTTTTGATCTCCGCGGGGAGGTTTTGTTCTACTTTAATATTTTAATTAATATTATTTGGAGTGAGAGGGCGGGGCTCGTTGAATAAATGAGTAATGTTTTTAAACTAAAAAAAGTGTTCTGGCTTTTTTTAGTGGGGCTTTATTTAAGAAATCGCTACCCTCCCGGGGGGTCCCGGACAGGGAAGCTGGGGGGGTCTGAAGTCTGGTGGTAATAACATTTAAAGCTGAACGGACTGATATAGAAAGACATAAATAATGCAGCTCTGTATTAATACATCATTAACCACTTTGAGCCGGCCCTTTAAGAGATTGTAATGCCAGAGGCGTTGCTTGTGATTGGCCGTCAGTGATCACATGATCAGGAGACCAGCTAAGTGACCGGACGCCATCAGTAGCAGTACAACCGCAGTGCAATAGAGCGCGCTCCGAGCACCAAGCGGCTACGACCAGCGGTATGCATATACCAGGCGGCGTGCCATAAAGCCCACCGACGTGCTGTCACATATATGCATACCGTTGGTGTTGAGTGACATTTCTGGCATGCATGCGAGTACCTGAATCTGCCTTGTTATCATGAAGCAACACAAGGAGCCATTCAGTGATGCTGTGGTGCTAACAAGTGGCACACTAAAAGGAGGAGAGAGCAGAGAGATGAGCCCGTCAGTCTCCCACTTCTCCTTCCACTGCCCAGTCACAGGCTGGGGGAGGGGCAAGACCTGCAAGAGTTCTGGAACTGCAGCAGCAGAAAATCAGGTCGGGACAGGCCTGAGAGGCAGAGCTGTGTAAATCTCATGGCTGAATGGACAGAGATACCCATCCATTAGCATTCTGGACAAAAGGCCGCCTCCTGCTCCAAGGCCAGAGGCGCAGACAGGAACCATCAGCTCCCACAAGCGCAGGGGAACGGCCCCGGCGCTGCGTACGGCTGTCTGATGTGGACAGGCACGTAGGGCAGCCTTATGCAAGACCAAGGGCCCTTCTCTGTATATGTGAGAGTACGGGCCCCGCCAAAGTTAAGGGCGCCGGCTCGGGCTAAACCGATTTCCATTCAAGCCTACAGGCGCCCGGAATGGAAATCCGGCCCGGAGGTGGAGTGCATGTGCAGGAAGTGCTGTTGCTGGCAGGATCTCCAGGAATGTCGCTTTGCTATATCCACTGTATACAGTTCTGTGATGCCAAACAGAGTTTGGGTTTATATGAGTTATAAAGAATGAATGTAAAAGGGAAGGACGATGGAGGGAGGGGGGCGGGGCGGGGCTGATTTACATACCATATCCCCCTATATTCCCCCATACACAGCAATACAGAAACTCAGAAGAGGACGTTTGTGGTGACACATTGCTACAAATAAATACAAGTATATCACATTGTATTTCCTCCGGGACATTAATAAATGTATCGCTTCAGACCACACGCACACAGATCCAGTGACAGACATAAGGAACAAAGGGCCCTGGTGCAATATTTTTTTCTCAGGGCCCCCCTCTTTCCCACTCTGCGGGGCTGGCCCCGGGACAGGATCTCACTGGCCCCCCATATGGAGCATATAGCGGGAGGGCAGATGTGGAGGATGGAGCAGTAGTGATATGGAGCGGGAGGGCAGATGTGGAGGATGGAGCAGTGGTGATATGGAGCGGGAGGGCAGATGTGGAGGATGGAGCAGTGGTGATATGGAGCGGGAGGGCAGATGTGGAGGATGGAGCAGGGGTGATATGGAGGATGGAGCAGGGGTGATATGGAGGATGGAGCAAGAGCAGATGTGGAGGATGGAGCGGGGGTGATATGGACCAGGGGGGCAGCTGTGGAGCAGGGGCAGATGTGGAGGATGGAGCGGGGGTGATATGGACCAGGGGGGCAGATGTGGAGGATGGAGTGGGGGGGGGGCGATAAGGCCGGGTTATTAAGCCCGTATTTCAGTGCTCCCCTCCCAGAGCCCTGGGGCATCGGCACTGGCTGCACCGCCGGTAGTTCCGCCCCTGCACAGATCCTCCGTAGCATCATTTTATACATCACAGGAAGTCTCCTATTGGAGGATTTTCATCCAATGGGAATCTTGAAACAAAGTGCAGTTTTCCAGGAAGTGACCTCATATCATGAATCCGGAACCAGAGAAAGCGAAATATAACCGACCAAAAGCCAGCAAATCCGAGAAGTTGGTTGTTGGGATTTCTATATACACTGTAATTGGAGGAATACGTTCTGCTGCCGGAATCGTCTCTTCTCTGTATATTAATATTATTGTCATCAGGAAGCAGAAATCGATTTCTCTACATTTATAATTACAATCATCTGTTTATAAATAAATATTTGGAGTTGTGCAATTCCTATACATGGAGAGACATCTGTGTGTGGTCCCTGTGCCTGCGGCCGTTCCATCATCCCATCTATATTAGGAAGTTTACTGTGGTCATGTGACCAGCACTGCATTCCTCCAGAATGTCCTGCTCTGCTCTGCACATGGAGTCCGCTGTCACTCAGATGAAGAATTCTGCACACCGGCACTCTGCTGTGAAATCGCCCAGCAGTGTTGTCACTCTGTGGACAGGGAAGTCTTATGGTCACCACACACGTTACAATCTGACCGTGCAACCAACTTTAGATCTACCAAAACTATGTAATATGAGCTTCCGTCTAGTCTATACAACCAATCTGCATCCAATCAGGCCGGCCCTCACACTACATAGTTGTTTGTACAATTTCCTTTAGATCTACAATCAGATTGTAAGGTGTGTGCTGAGCTTTGGATGGACATGCAGTTTTAGAAAGACTTAAAGAAAGATATAAACAATAAAATGGCCGTCTCTCCTCTCGCTCTCTTCCCCTGGCCTTCCCTCTTCGCTCTCTCCCGGCCGTCCGTCCTCGCTCTCTTCCCTGGCCGTCTGTCCTCGCTCTCTTCCCTGGCCGTCTGTCCTCGCTCTCTTCCCCCGGCCGGCCGTCCTCGCTCTCTTCCCTGGCCGTCTGTCCTCGCTCTCTTCCCTGGCCGTCTGTCCTCGCTCTCTTCCCCCGGCCGGCCGTCCTCGCTCTCTTCCCCCGGCCGGCCGGCCCCTCGCTCTCTTTGCTCGCTCCCCTGGCCGTCCCTCCTCGCTCTCTCTCTTCCCTGGCCATCCCGCCTCGCTCGCTCCCCTGGCCTTATATACTGAGTGACCTCCCCATACAATCTGCAGACCCAACCCCCTCCTCCCCCCCACGGCCTGCGTCCCCTGTCACTGTATTAGCACTTTATATCATTTTAGCAAAGTGATCTAATTGTCCATCTTTCGGGGCCATTGATGGGCCTCGGAGCTTGTTCTGTCAGTTTACTTTCTATCCACTAGATGGCGACAAAAGCCCATTCACGTTTTTCCCCCCCAATGAGAGTCCGAGCTCAGCATTCCCGGAGCCGAGTGTCGGAGCGTTTATAGCGCTTCTCCATGGAAGGAAGACAATGAAAAGTCCATTGTTCTCCAAGTCTGTTTATTCAGCTGCATATCTGTGTAAAGGCCGCAAGGCTCCAGGCCGTACAAATCCAATTCTCCAGCATTGTGGATGTGGCCAGAGGCTGCAGACCTGACGGGCAATCAAATAAAATAACCGGCAATTCATCACAAAACATGAAACAATGACAGCATGCCGGCAAAACTACACGGGCGCCGCACCAACGCCGGGAAACGCGAGCAACTGTGCATGTTAGTGCTAAAAGTAAAGTATTCCCCATGTCATAGCTTGTATTGTGCTACGGAGTGTGTTAAAAAGGGTCATGCATGT